TTCCGGGTCCTCTGGCAGCAAAATAAACCCAAATCATTGCCCCTCCCCCACCACGCTTGGTAGTTGGTATGAGGTGTTTGTGCTGATATGCTTTGTTAGGTATTCTCTAATTGTGGCATTGTGGTCAAACATCCCTACTTTGGTCCAAACAACATTGTTCCAGAAGTCTTGTGCTTTGTTCAGATGCAAGTCTTCTTTTTAGAGAGAAGAGGATAAATATACAGTTAAATTCACGTAGAAAATAGAATAGAATAGCCCTTTGTCATTGTACATGTACAAATGAATGAAATTATGGAATTTTCTTTTTTCTTTTTCCAAAGTGCCAAAATGTCTGCTCTTACAGAGGTGCTCACACTTGTTAATGAAGTGCATTTTCACCACCCTACGTCACATCTGCTGTATAAAAATCTAACACCTCAACACTGCTAATTTGGGGTTGCTGATTTAAAAAAAATAGCAACGCATTTTGCTCAATCACATTGTGGTTTTTTTTTGGCAATTGTAAACATGATCAAGATGGGTTCTTTTTTCTGGAATATCCGTGGATGCTTCATCACATCAAAACAGCCAAAACAACCAATAACCAAGACAAGCAAGCCACAGGCACCTCATTCGGTTTGCCAGGAGAGTGTCAAAAACCTTGAAACACTGAGTAAGAGAAGGAGAAAAGAGCCAAATCAGTTTGATGACAGCTACTTCTGTTTAGTTAATATTCTGGATACACACATGCACGCAGCGAAACAGAGAACAGAGGAGAGCAACACAACAACAGGAGAGACTCACACCAGGCTGAAAGTCAACACAGACAACACAAGCAGCAAAGATTCATATGTTGTGTAGTACAATGAATGCTATATTTTCATATTGCATTGTAAATCACCAATTAGTGGCAAAAGTTGCTAATGTTAGATAAACCTTTTTTGAGATCACCTACTCTGACAAGTTAAAATAAAATCAGTTTCTGAGATTTTCATGTATGAAACCATTTGAATCTGTGCATCCTGAGACTGTCATCTATTAATCTGTCAGTCCAGCTTACTTACATACTGTATAGATGTTACATAAAAATTATTTTAGGGTATGACTGTGTGAATTTCTCTCTTTGAATATATTTATTACCAGTATATAAGCTGAAGAAATTCAGCTTTGCTTTACCTTTGTGAGGAGTCTGAAATGAGCAGAGAGCAGCAGGCACAGTCTGCCTGAGAAGACAGTATGTGGGTGGATTGAGAAATGCTGCATCTCTGCACACATGCAGAGCGTTGACACTGACATCTGCTCCATCTGCTGCCCCTGCCACTTCAGCACAGACTTTACAGTGACGGAGAGGGGAGTGAGACACGTGCTGGGCGAAACAGGTGAGGAGTCTGGGCAAAAAATACCTGCTCAATTCGGCTTGAAAGGGGCTAATTAACTTGATCATCTCTTACTTCAGCACACTTGATGAATCACAGACTTGTTGCAGACTTTTCCTGAAAAACGTCATCTGCTTGTGTTGTCTTTGTACACCTCCATCTTTGTAAGCCACAAGTAATCCAAAGCCAGTGACAGACTGGCGCACACATCACTGAAAAAAAGCTAAAGCTGTGGGAACAAATGTAACACCTCTGCCACCTCAACCTGACACGAATCACATCCCTACAGTTCAAAAAGCTGAACTGAACCAGAAGGAAGAGCTTGTGCAAAGGATAAAGCGGCAACGGCACCGTTTACATGTTAAATTAATGAGCAACATTTATTCAGATGATGATTGGGTAGAGCTTGAAAACAAAACATATTCTGGAATAATCCAGAATGTAAAAGCCAAAAATGAGCCGCAACTGTCAATATTAACACATTTTAAGTGTAAATGATATTTTACTATTAATGAAGATATATCTAGTACCTTTTCCAGATAACAATTTCCAGCAGACCAATTTCTTTATGTAGTGAATTTTAAAGGCCAGTATATAGCTGCCTGTTTCATACTATTCATTAATTTTTTTCTCCTGTTCTCAGATAATAAATTTCTCAGCGTGTCACATATGAGACCAGCTTGGCTATGTAAAATATATTCACCAGCCGCTTTGTAAGGCACACCTGTTCAAGAGCTTGTTACTGCAAATGTTTAATTATCCAATCACACGGCAGCAATTGAGTGCATTTAGGCACGTCGCCATGGTTAAGACGATCCATTGAAGTACAAACCGAGCAGCAGAATGAAGGAAGTGTCTGAGTGTTTCAGAAACTGCTGATCCACTTGGATTGTTCAACACAACCATTTCTAGTGTTTATAGAGAACGATCTGAAAAAGAGAATATTTCCACTGGTTGAAAATACCTTGTTGATGCCAGAGGTCAGAGGAGAATGGCTTTGGGATAACACAAAGGCAACAGTAACTCGACCATTCAAACAACCATTGCCCAAGCTACGATTTGTGCTGGAATTTGAATGGTAGGGTCAGAACTTTGCATAAATGACATGAAAACATGGATCCATTGTGCCTTGTATCAGTAATTCTGGCTGTGCAGTTACTTGAAGAACTACAAAACTCCCATTGTCTCAAGAAAATCACCCAAATCCTTCAAGACCCATCATGCCTCAAATCATCTCAAATTGGTTTTTTGGACTTAGTTCATTGTACTCAAATGGCCTCCACAGTCACCAGATCTCAATACAATATATAGCCTTTCTTTAAAAGTCACAAAATTCAGCATTTATTTATGTGCCTAAATTGCAGACAGAATGAGCACCAGTTTCCACTCTGCAGAGGAAAAAGAGTTGAAGCTTTAGACGGAAAATAAAAGGCAAAGAGGAAAGATCAAAGTCTAGTTTTTCGAGGCTGGGTGGAACACATTCTCCAGTAAAGACACAAAGTTGACATAAGAAAAACTGTATTGAGCTAAAGAAGCAATTTCACTCTGCTGCCTCTTGTTTTGTTTTGAAACCTTGATTTTAGAAGACTTGTGGAGGCGTAACAAGTTTTTTCTCCTTCACATCCTCTTAAATTTTCTGCATTTCAGTACAGACGCCTCTCCGCAGTCATCAAAGGTTGAATCTGCAGTTATAATCAGGCCGTTAGCTGAGGCTGATGCGGCGGTTGCTCTCTGCTCCGATAAGCCTGCCAGAGGCCGGCGGTCTCCTGCCTGTAATACATTCGTCACAGTTTCCCCAAGACACATGAGCGAGCCCCACACAAATGAAGACTGAAATATCTGCTTCCGTTTGTCTGCGTCAGAGAAGAGCATCGTTCACCCTTACTCAGCAGTATTCGGTCTCAATTTGAAGAATCGGCAATGAGGTGTGAATGCCTCTCAATATACTCGTCATTCCTCTGCCAAGGGAAAAGCAGAGGTATACTTTCAGTGCTTTTTGTCAGCAGGAAAGATCACAAAATCCAGAGCCAAAGATCATATAACTGGGTAGAGAGATGGAACACCAGCCAGAGGAAGAACCCATTAAATTCTGGCACAGACATACATGAACCAGTTTAAAGATATGACAAAGGACATTGTTCTTTCTATTTGTATAACTGTTGAAAGAAATCTACAATAATGTATTTATTATATGAGAAATTCTAAAGTGCAATAAAAGCTAATCAGAATTTATTTAAGTTCATGAAACTATTTGTAAAATTAAATCAATCTTGCATAAACTGACTCTGCACATTTCTGTGGTTTCTCCTCTTTGAGTTTGCCTCAAACTTATTTCAGCAGATCCAACTTAATTAAAAGGAAGATAATCATTTCAATTTATATTTGGAGGATGGCTCTTTTTTGTGACCTACCAGTCTGTTTCGGTATAACCTTGTATGTGTAAGCATTAAAAAAAGGAGGTGGTGACATGGAACTGGTGTTGGCCAGAGGGGCCGATGG